CTCTTCCCAAACACGCGTGTGGAACGATGCACACAGCAGCTTTCAGACTCTCCCTAATGGGCTTACGAACGGCTGAGCGCCGTGGAGCGAGTGAGAAAGCCGTGTCGTCCCCCCAACTCCGAGAGAACATGAGCTCCCGTGGACTCAGGCCAGGCCGTCAGAGTGGGGTTCAGGACGCAGTCAGGACCCAGGGCTCCCCGCGAAGGCCCGCGCAGGCTGTTCTTGGGCCCGCTCCTCCCCCTGTGCGGGGAGCGCCTGGCCTCCCTGCACCTCATCTGGATCCTAGACTCTTACCCAGCTGCTCAAGAGCAATTGTTCTCTTTGGTGCCGCTGGCTGAGAAATTCAAAGCCAGATTTGGACCCATCTCCGGCCCTCATATGTGACTCTGGCCTTCTCCTACTTTCTCACCTTTATTTTCCTTTTGCCCCAGTTCCTTGTATCTACTTAATCCTCTGGTATTGCGTGTGTTTTGGATGCCAACTGCAATCCTCTCTAGAGTGAAGCAGCACAAACATGTGAAATGCTCGTAATCTCTAGTAATCACTCGGTGAATCACTGTCCACGGCGTGAGGGGATGCAGCCCTGCGTGAGGGGCGCCCAGGCCAAAAGAAGGGCTGGCCTGCAGGAGGCACGGACACGCTCCCGGGAGCAGAGCTGAGCCACACCGCAGGTAGCTGCTCTGCGTCCGCCGAAGGGCCAAAGGCATCACCAAGACAGCGGATCCATCAGGACAGCCCAACACCTGGCCGCAGGGGGCATCAGCCACCCGAGACAAAGCACACCACTGCCCACTTTGGTTCTGGGACTTCAGCTCGATTCCCATTCATGTGAGGGAATCAGAGGGCAAAGAGCGTTTCTATTCTCTGTCTTCCTTGTTCCTTTTTCTTTTCTTTTTCTAAGAACGGGAATGCTGACATCTGGCCTTCCACCCAGCAATCCAAGGCGCAAACAACACAGGACATGCTCATGCTGCAGCAGGGCAAGCACGGCTCCGGCTCTGGGGGCTCACGGACTGGGCGCTCCTTCCTTCCCTCGCCAGCCTCCATCCACAGAGGCCAACCCAGGAGAGAGAGGAGGGGAGTGGGAGGTCCGGCCCTGACTCTGGAGCATGCACGTCAGAGGACAGTGGCAATCTTCTATTCAGGCCTCCGCCTGGACTCACAGGGACGATTCTCCTGATCGCCCCATGCTGCCTTTCATGTGGGTTCCCACCATCCCAAGAACTTCTGCTATTTCTCCAGAGCCTGCTGAAATGTCATGACCAGCCCCGCAGAATGG